TTCTGCTTGTGAAATTTTAACCAGGTAATGAAGCAGCAAGAGGCAGTGAACTTGATTAGGCATTTGGAAGATCCTCAAGAAGCTGCTGAATGCTTAGCCAAAGAAGCTTTGACTAGAATGAGCAAAAGCAATGTTTCCTGCCTCATCATTAGATTTGAATAATGCAGAAATGATAAAAACCTCAAAAGACATTTTTGTTTGTGTAGAATAGAAACTACACCTTCAACTAATATACTTTGTTATGAGTCATTCCCATTTACAGAACTGGGAAATGACATTCCAATACAAGTTAGCTAATATGTTAGCAAATTGAGATTGCTGTCAAGTGTTCTGTAAGGTCAAGCTAGAATTTCATAACTAGGTTTGGCTATATCAAGAAAAAGAATTTCAGTATTGATGTTTTTCTCTTTTTTCCCTCTAACATATTTATTTCATTTTATCTTCTGCAATTATTCTGTTACCAGATTTTACTAAAGTGATGCATCTACACATTTCACGGGTTCGAGCCGTGGAATCAGCCTTTGATGCAAGCACCTACATCACACCTCTTGGGGATCGGGGATGCTTCGTGCGCCGGGCTGCCCTTTTTCTGTTTTCATTGCCACATTCTTTTTTCTCTTATATTCATTTCCCATGCCCTTGAACTTAATAAGCGGTCAAGGAAAATTGCAAATGTGTAATTACTTTGAAGCAGTAAATAAACGATAGGAACTGTAAAAATTTCTGGAGCATCTTTACTGCAAACACCAACTATCAAATCCAAACTGTAAAGTACATTGAAAGCTAACAGGCAGTCGAACGTATATACATTTTTCATCTTAACACCATACCTTTTTACAAAATACTACATTTTAGGAAATGAACTGCTTTTGGAAACTCATAAAGAGCTGTGAGCAAAATTAAAAAAATGATGAATAGATGTGTCACACCTCGACCTGACAACCATAGGAGACTTGAATAATCTTGATACTGCATACTGTCACCTTTTTTCAGTAGTCTTGCTTCGAAAGGGAGATAACAAAGAGAGGCGAGCTGTATTCCAAGTGTAAATGCCTCAGTTCCTCATTCATACATATAAATATAAAACACATTTAAATCTTAAAGATATAATTAATCTTACACTTCTGAGGAGCATTGCCACCAGTTGGGGTTTCATCTTGGGAGATCAAATTCTTCAAAGTGTAAACTGGAGGAGATAAGGTATAAGGTCAGCTTATGGATATTAAAGAGGGACAAGGGTGAACAAATTATTGTCGATTCCATATGCATTACAATTGTGCAGATGGAATTAGAATTAAGGGTTTAACATTCAGGATCAAGACATATTCTATTGAGTCATCTACAGTACATACAAATCAAAGAAATCTTTCCAAAACTGTGCGAAGCTACTGAAAAGAAATGTCAGCCAAGAATTGTTTCCCCCATTCTTCTCAACCCGACAGTACTCATCCACTACCCTTCCACCACTCCCTCTCTCCAATCACAAACAGCTATCTGTTTAACATGTTTTCTTATCTTTTTATATTCTTATTTCACTTGTCCTCTTGTTCTGCTTTTGGTGCTCCCTATTTGGTTTGCGAAGCTTAAGTAACAGATTGTAAGGATTCAAATGGTAGCTGGTCCTAAACTTCATTTTGGATTTATACGAAAATCATTGCTCCCCCGTCCCATTTTATGTGACATGCTTTGATTGGACATGTAGTTTAAGAATCAAATAAAGACTTTTGAAATTTGTGGTCTAAAACAAGCCATAGACATTTTTGTGACTCTAAATTATCTCATTAAAGATAAAATGAAAATCTTAAAGTTAAATCATTTCTAAGTATAGAAAGGTGTTATTTTGGGACTGACTAAAAGGAAAGTGAGCAAAATAAATAGGGACAGAGGGAGTAATTTTTGTTTTTTGGATAAGGATCTTAACAAGAAAACTATTCCAGAATTTGTTCCCATAATTTCAAAAGGGAACATGTTATCGATGTTTTCAGCTACGGCTATCAAGTTAAGAGATCTGAAAGTTCGTTACCTTCACTAGGCAAGGAAGCATTTGTGGCACTCTCATCCTGCTTGACACTATTCATGGTTGCACCATCTGATTCCGCTCCTGCAGAGGAATGGTTCTTCTTTCCAAACCTCAAAAGGCGTTTAAAACCTTTTGGTGATTCCTTCAATTGAGTCTTTTCTGCAGCTTCTGGATTGTTATCTACTCTGATGGTGTGAATATCAGGTGCATGAGCTTTGGCAATTTCTTTAACTGTTGATGCTATGTCTGAGCTCGACGGGGGTGCTTTAACATACTCCAAGTTTCTGGTAGAAGGGTCCTCTACAGAGGAGACACGAGCATAGGGAGCACAATAAACAGTACTACCGATATTTGCAAATTTGGGTGTGTCATCAGCATAACTCGTCCCTACCTGCAAATATAAAGGTGGAATATTCAAATTTTGCAATTGCATATGCAACTAATGTTAATTCAATAAAGAACTCAAACAAGTTAATGTTAATTCAATCAAGAACTCAAACAAGCAGAGCATAAATTAAAACCTTTGCTAAATAAACAAATGCTAACGAGAATCCCCAGCACCATGTAAACAACATACAAGAAATCCATTTGGCAGAAAATATATTACAAATATCCATATGAACATATTGAAACACGAGACTTTAAGTAGGTGATTTTTTTTTTCCTTTTTCATTAGTAAGTGTTGTTAGGTGTATATTATAAGTTTTCCTGACAAGGGTTGTTTAGGTGAAAATATAATTTTCTCTTTTCAATAAATAGGCATAAGCAGGTTAAAATTAACTTCAACTGGCATGTAAACAATTGAAAGGATAGCTTGCTCACATCACCCAAGCAAATCGGCCCCCAAGAATATTACAGTGCCCCCCCAAACCCAAAAATCTCCCCTCCTTACCCCCATGCCACCAAAGAAAAATGAACAAAGTATATAAAGGAATACCAGATTAAACTAAAACATCTACGATCAATTAAGCTGTCTGTTGCTTCTGAAAAAGTTTTGCTAAAATAAGGGACATTTTTAGGGAAGAAATCAGGAACATTTTATCTCCATGATCTACACATGTTAACTATATATTACCATATGTTCAAGTTCAACTGAGATAGTAATCACTGAACTGTAAGAATTTTTAGTAATTGTGTTGTGTAATGGGCAACATCAAAGAGTGCCAGCTTTTAATTTAACCTAACTCTACTAATCCTACCTCATGGGTATTTGACACTTCTTGCAGTCGGCTAGGAGCAGGAGCTCGGATAAATCCCTCAAAGGGTGAGGGCGGGTCACGTGTAGATGCAAAGTCAGTTTTCTCTACACTGTCATTCTCTGATGATGATTTGGAAACAGCAAACGAGGGCTTCTCCTTCTCAAGCATAACAACAGTTTTCTCAATAATGTTTTCATCTAGATCACTCTTGCATGATTCAATGCCTTTGGATACTACGGAAGGCCTGTCATTCTTCTCTTTTGCTATATTCTCTGCAGCTGGTTTATCTTGTGGCAAATCAGACGATTCTTTGGTGGTTCTGATTTTCAGCTCCGGAAGAGTAGCAGCCTTCTTTTTGTCAAGGTCTATGATAGCAGATATTTTCTTGCTCTCTGGCACATCAGACCGCTTCGTCTTAGACACTGGTTCCGCACTCCGAACCTTGGGCTTTGATACGAATTCAGCACTTTGTGCCTTCCCCAAAGTGCCAGGCTTGCCGCTGATTGCTTTGGGCTCTGATAATCTTCTTATTCGTGCCATAGATGCCTTTGAATCAGGTGTAACACCATTGTTTTCTTTTTTTGGTTCAGACAAGGACGACGCCGATCTACTCAATTTGTTACCAGCCAATTTGCTGCCATCAGTTGATTTGCTGGCTTTAGAGCCCTTTTGCAGATCAGTTGACACCAGTGAAGTTCTTATTTTGGTTCTTTGCAACGGCGACGAGGATCCAGGTTCTGAGTCACTGAACTTAGATCCCCTGATGGTTCCAGGAGAGAGTTTTGCTGGCAATTTTCTTGTTTGGGCTGTTGGCGCTGGAGAGCGAGCAGAGCTGGAGCCACCTCTGGATGCAATTCTCTTTTGCCTTTCCAGTTTTAATGCTTCAATGCGCTTTTGGTCTGCCTCTTCCTGTAAAATTTTAAAATTCCACCTATTTAAACTCTATTGGGAAATATATCATGAAATAACCAACTTAAACTGGTTAGATATTCCAGAAACACTATGTAAATCACTAACACTTTGTACCACGAAAAAGGGGGAAAAAGTGAGAAAAAATTAGGTCAGTGCACCTTTTCTTTTTTCATCTTCTGGATATCAGACTTGAAGGATCTTATCCTCTCAGCACGTGCTCGTGCATCATCCAAAGGACTTGACTTTGACATTTTTCCTTTTCTTATTGGTCCCCCACTCCTCTTCTTATCTGAAGTATCAACAGTAGCTTTTGACCTGCGATCTTTCTCTGATTTTTTAGAACCTACGTTCCCATCATTCGAGACTCCATTCTTTCTTTTATCCTTTGAAGCAGACCCTTCAATGCAAAATTGCATTTCGTAGTCCAGCGCAGGGTCATAGACACCTGACCTCTTTTCTGTACCACGCTCAGGCATCAAGCTCAAATCATTAGGCTCGTAGTAGCTCATAACCCCAGCAGAGTTGTTTTCTGATTTTTGATGCGGAAGCTCAGAGTCCATGTTAATGGCAGTTCTTCCCTCTGGTCCAACGTCATCCAATGACATTGACCTAAAAGGTACAACAAAAGACTCATCAGCCATATCATGTGAGGATGCTGTCTCTATCTTATTCGCATGCTCAAATGCATTTACAGCTAGAGGATCTAATGAATTTCTCATCCCTGATTGATTGTCTCGACCATTTAACATAAAATCATCATTTGAAGTTCTAAGCATGACTTTTCTCCCATTTATTTCTGTAAACTGCATGTCCATTTGGTCACCAAGTCCTTGAGCACTGTCATATCCTCTGTTTGAAAGTACAAGTTCACCATTAGGTCCCCTGGACATGCGCGACATCTTCGCACCAACTGTGTGGATATCATCACTCAACCTATCCTTCATTTCAATGCCATCTTGTGCACCAATAGCCAAAGGATCATCGCCCGTGGTATTTTTTCGCCTCCTCCTTGCATCTTTCTCCATGGAGAACATGCCATTTTTGTCAGCGTGATTTTCTTCTTCGTTACCTTTCAATAAACAATTTTGAAATGCCAGCCAATGCCCACCATCAGCTTCCTTCTCACGAACAGTGTCATCATCATATAAATTTGACTCATCCTGAAACTTTGTGCGGCTTCGTCTTGTTTTTGATGACCATGAAGTTTCCCTGTTCACCGAATTGTGACCATTGCCTTCTAGATCTTCACTATCAGCATCTTTTTCCGAACCAGAAGCTGCTTCTGAATCGCTGTCACTAGAGTTCTTTGTTTTAGAAGTGATATAATTAATGTTACGTATAACAACCTTTCCTGATTGTTTTTTCCTAGACCGTCCACCAGCCTTCTTTCTTTGACTATGAGAAATTTCACTATCCATTTCTTCGTCCTCCTCCGATTCACTGTTGCTTTCTCCCCTATCCAAAGACTGTCTTTTCTGTCTAGTTTTCGGAGTGACACTCATACGAGAGTCTTCCATTCCTGGATAAGGAGATTGATAGAGAGGCCCATTTCCTGGATAAGCTGGATAATATGGTACTCCTTGCATAGGGTATCCTTGAAAAGCAGGTACGGCAGAGCCTGGAGAATGCATTGTCCAAGGTGGAAACATTGGATGAAGAAACTGATATTGTTGTTGACCATTTGGATTTTGTTGATCCGATGGAGGCCTTTCCCCTATATTACCAAAGAATATGACAAAAATATTACAACTCTCTCAAGAAAGCACATGTTGTACAAAAATATACATACCTAAATCATCCTATTCAATCCTCATAAACAATAAGAGTACATCCAAGGTCAGAACTGAAAGCATCCCCAGGAATGAACGTTTTGCATGTCAAAAAAGAGAAACAGAAACTATAACCTTGATGACTTAAAGAATGTATGTTATTATTTGCAAATAATATGACCTTGCCCGGATGCAGCCTATATGAAGGGGAAGTCATAACGGAGTACCCTTCAATAGGATTTGCTTCATTACCTGAATTACCATCCGCGCTTGATTTCACATAATTCTCAGAAGCCATCTCACTGTTGGAATCAAACGGCTTATTAGCAATATTAGAGAGCAGAATTCCAGATGCATTCATTGCAGCAATGTTTAATTGATTCGCCATTGCTTCTGCAGCTTCAATTTCAACCCATTGTCCATTTTCATGTTTTTTCTTCCACAGTTCCATAAATCTTACACATGCATCTCTGCCACATGAAAATATTTCATGAATCATAGGACTGTTTAGCAATGTTGATTGCAATTAACTGTTTATTTTTTGTTCTTCGAATACTTTGATTTGAATGTAAACTAAAAATAAGCGGTGTTTATTCCAACAAAGGGAACTAGAAGTTGCTGCTAGTTGCTTACTTTAAGCGTGAGGCGCCAAAAGACTCAGCAAATGATACCATCTGTGCCATGCGATCAATATCAAAACCAGCAGCTACAGCACGTGCAAATGCCATTCCTTGTTCTTTTTGAAGCACAGACTTGCGAGTCTCCAGGACCTTCAAAAGCTGTACTCTGAATAGTGAATAAGAAGACAAATCAATCAAAATGCATCGGAGCTGTTATTAAACTTGAGTAATTTGGCTCTTCATACATGTTACAAGCTCTGAGGAAGTCCAATTAAATTTTCAGAGATTCTTTAATTAGGCTTATGAAAACGATGCGAACTGAAGATATGATCAAATGCTAGTGACAAACAACTTATGTCAATGCTTTTCCTTTGATAAGTAACTTGCTCAATTTTTTTTTTTGACACTAATGTCTATACTTCGACTGTCTATAGGATAGAGGCCTATCAGCTTGTTTTCCAACTACATTATGGCTGTGAAATTTGAACTCACTCACATAATATGCAGAGAAATATACACACTAAGGCACTGCTGTTCAACGCTTTGATTTAAAGTGGACGATTGCTAACAAGGATAGAAGTACCATTTGTCAAGAAATATTATTGAATGTTAACTAGCCAACAGAACACAAAGAAACTGGCTTGACTGCTGAAATGTTAAAAATCATAATAAGATGAACATCTGCACTATTATCAATGGATGAGCAAAAGATTATAAATCATCTACTCTTACAGTTTTCTGTTTTTCCTTTTCCTCTTTTCTCTTTCTGTTTCTCGATCTTATGAGAGCGCCTTCTTTTGGGGACAAATTATGTGTAGCAGCTATAAAATTAGAGCAGTCAAAAGGAAAACAGGTTGCCAGTGTAGGAATTTATATTGCTCTTAACCAGCTTGTACACCAGCTTACAATGAACCGGATGAACTTACTGCGCTAAGTTAGACATCCTGCTTTCAACTTTATCAAAAGAGAAATCCTAGTTTTTTTTTTTCAATTTGACCATAGTGATATCACTGATTTATCCTAATATTACGACAACAAACAGGGACAAAGGTGCAAAAAGGAATCTGATTGAGTACTTCTAGTTGATTAACCATCATCAACAAATCTTAGTCCATGGAATTCTGAAGTGAAACCACAGACACAAGTATAACTTCCAGGAGATTGATATACCTTGAATTTTCTTCCTGAGAGCCTGACCCATTTGTCTGAGGTTGATATTCCCCTGGCTGCACGAAACATAAACCAGATTAGGAAATAGGCATAATATGCGCAACATTTGAAAGAATACAAGATGCCCAGTCACCTTGTAAAGGACAATAGCTTTCTCCTCACTAATATCTGCTGTCAATTTAGTACCTGTCCAAATTTTACTATTTTTCAGTATCTTGTCTCATAAACAGCAATTCCACGTAACATTAAAGGATAAAGCCCGCAGTTACTTAGATTACTGACAAAAACAAGTAAGATAATTGCAGAGTCTAGGGATCTATATCGGAGTATTATTTCCTTGCAAATGGAGGACCCAATCAATAAGGCAATGGAAGACACAAAAGGCTGAGGAGTGAAATAGTTAAGTTAACCAAGAAACCAGGCCCAAAAAGTTTATCAAGTCTTGATCGCAAGGTGCATCATTGGCCTATGTGATGATGGGAAGCAAAAAATAAAATAAAAAAGGGCCGGACTGGGCTTTTTCTATAAATGATGATAGAAGTTCTTCGCTCTGAAGTACCTGCAAAATTTCCAGCGGGTTTTGCTTCTTTATATTCGACCTGTCAAGGAAATAAAAATTGTTGGACTGACGTCTACAACCCTCCATGACACATGAAATTTCTGAAGATCAGGAAATACTTACTGGCCCTTTCCCAATATCATTGTGTCCCTGAAGGACAATTGCTTCCTCGATCTGCAAGATCTCAGATTCTATGGTGTACACCCTTTCCAGGATCTCCGGAGTGCTCACAAAACGGACAAACCTGATAACAGAAAAAAAAAACATTACACCAATTTGTTATTAACAAAACAGAGAAAAGGAAACATTGGCCTAATTTGTTTGCACATTATTATCACGCCCTTATTCTCTTTTTTAATCTTTCTCAGTATCAGTAGGATGTGCCAGAGCAGCGTCATGTTACCGGCTGTGAAGTATGCTACATGCTTACGTAAGTAATCTCTAGTTTAGCTTGCTGGTTATATAAAAACAATGCCTATTTAATTGCAAAAGTTTTCCTTTCTTGCTTTGCAAAAATATGAACTGTCCCTAAAGAAGGTTCCAACCATTTCAGTAAGAAATTGTATACAAATAAAAAGTTTATGCCTTTGCACAAAGATCTCCTCAGAGAATTGGACTTGAACTATCACAGGAAACATTCCCATTGATAAGCTAATTAACATATAAGAATACATATAACTGATTAGGTAATTGGAACTCTTACAAGGACACCACTAGGTTTTACTACAAACCTTTCCACTGTACCCTTTGTAAACCATGAAGCATCGACATGAGCATCTGGTTCCAGCAAAACTGAATAGCCACCCTTTGCAATTTGATCTTGAGCAGTTCTCAAGTGAGCAAGAAAAGGATTCAGCAAACCAGAAGCTATTTTCTCCTTCTTGCCATTAGCTATAATGAATAAATCACACCTGGAAAAAATTAAGGCATTTAAATCACATATCAGTAGCAAGAATTTCCACAGCTTCACTCTGATTATTTGTTTGAGTAAATCTATGCACACTCCAAACAATACTCCCCAAACTCTAATGAAGAGGAAAGTAGAGAGACAACGTGCAAGGGTAGATGTCGTGGCACCAGCTTACTTTTGATTTGCATAAAAGCCAAATAAATCAGAGAGCTAATTAACTTTGGTGCAGGATTCACATCAAGTCCAAATTTCAAACTCCTTTAACAATCAGAAAGTAATGTCAATTCCCTTCCACTGGTAACTAAGAGGAATATGTCAACAACAACTACATCTCAGTCCAAAACAAGTTGGGGTCAGCTATATGAATCGTCACTAACCATGGTATTCCATTTAAACTCATCTCAAACCAATATAATGCAATACAATTAAAAAGTAAACACTAAGAGGAAGATGTCAACAGCAACAACTAATGCGTCTCAGTCACAACCAAGTTGGGGTCGGCTATATGAATCCTTACTGACCATGTTATTCCATTTAAACTCCTCGCATTCCAATATTATGCAATATAACTAAAAAGTAAATACTAAAAGGAAAATGTCAGTTTCAAAAAAAAAATCATTGTAGAATGAAAAGACATTTATCAAGACTATAGCAACAAGAATGTTATCTAACCCACTGAATTTTCAACTCTACATGTTAAAGGAACCTTGAATTGGATTCTACACAATCAATGCTAAACCTGACAAATCCTAAAAACAGCAACAAAAAAACAAAAAGAAAACAGAAAACCAAATAAATACATACTCTAAAAATCCACAAAGATCAATGCACATCCATGTACTGATGTACACACACAACAATACCAATCTAAAACACCATTACGTGAATCATAAACCAAATAAAGATAACATACTTTGAGTAAACTAGCTATAACCATGTCAAATATACCTAGTTCTAGTAGGAGTTAGCTGAAAAACAACTGAGTCAAGTCTTGCACTAGACTTCATTCTTGCAACTCCAATTGCTTCAGCTCCCCAAGTCTTAGATCTTTAAAATGACCTCCCAAATCTTGAAACAGACAAACCCAATAAGCTAAAATAAAACAACCCCACCTTACTAATCAGACCTCACTGTTTTCATCATCAAGAAACCTTTTTCACACAAAAAGATCACTTCTTTTAGAGAAAGAGAGCAAAAGGGTTTGTACAGAACAAAAAGATTAAAGCAAAAGCTCAAGTAAGAACTTTGCTTTAATGGGTTGTTTCATACATTTAACACTTAACCCAAATGCAAAAACAAATGTCATTCAACAAATCAAGATTCCACCTTTACACACAAAACTCACTGACCCATTACCCAATGTAGTTCCAAACACACACACACCCATAAATCAATGTGTATTATGTAGAAAGAGAAGGATCCAAAGAAAAAATCTAATAAGAACAAGATTCGCTCGTTAGGAATCGCCCGAGGTAAGAAGGAGAAATGTCAAGGGTATTTTAGGTAATGCATACATAAAAAGTGGAGCACTAAAAGATGAGAGGACAAAATGGAGAAGGTGTGATTCAGGGAACTTTTTAATAAAGTGACAAAAGTGCCCCTGAACTGAGAGAGTGTGTGTGTTCAGTACTTCTTGTGGGAGTGTGAAAACACAGTGAGTGGTGCTAATTTGCGCCTAGGAAAATGAGACCCTCTTTTTAGGTGGCGACAGTCAAAGGGGGGGGCAGTTGTATATCATTATACATGCACCTAAATTATTTTCTCTTTTTTGTTTTCTTTAGACTATTCAACATACTAGAAAAGATCTTAAATATTTTAATTTAGTTATTGCCTCAGTTTTAAATGTTATTGTTCTTAGTATTTTATAACAACAACAACATTCCTAATGTATTTACACAGTATATATTATAATCTTGATTGAACGTGTTCAGAAATAATGATATGGATTATGTTATCGTTCACAAAACACTTGTGACGAACACCTCATTACACTTTGAGGCTAACACAAAATCTTAGAGATTGAATAAGATTTAATATTTTTGATTAGTCTTGTATCTTATTTGCACGAGTTAGACTATCCTTTATGTTTAATCAAATTAATGTATTGTTTCTTATACTCTAGAATTGCTTTGTAATGTCGAGTTTTGAAATTATATTTTTGGAATTGTATAATTTATGTGGTTGATTCGGAATTAGTTATTATCATACCGATGAATGTAGATTATGTTTTATGATTGATTGTTGCTTTGATTTGAACTTGTGATTTTACGATGATTGCATATAATGATGTGATTGACTAGTGATAGGCTTATATGAACTATGTTCTAGAAATATTAAATTTCATTATAAAAGTATCTTTGATAAGGAGTTTGCCTTCCTTAGTGTTTGTTCATGGCCCAGATTTTGAGTCGTGACATGAAAATTATCTAAAAAACTAATTTTCGAAATTAAAATATTTCCCACAAAATATTGTTCTACCCAAGAAATATTCTATATGAGACCAAATTCACCCTCCATTCAATTACATGGGCTGTGACAAGCAAAATACAAAATAAAGAAGCCCCACATTGGGTATAAAACTATAAATTATCATACCTAATATATACAACGAATTTAGGCACATGATTGCCTTAGACATCGCAAAATGTTGAGCAACGGTTTCATGGGTTATGGCAAAAAAAAAATTTACATATGGTATGTCTGTTGCATCGGTCATCAAAATTATTTTAAAAAAATAAAAATAAAAATAAATAAATAAAAAAGAGAGAGAGAAATTGTCATGAGCAAAGTCAATTATTGGATCAACAACATTGGATGCTCTAAACAACAATTTCTGGATCCATTAGTAGTGCTATACATAAACTAGAATAATATTACTTTTAGTTCATTACAAGATATATCGTATGTTATACATTTTTTGTCCATCGCAATTTTTTTGGGTTCTAGTATCTTTAGTGCATGCAGTACAAGATATATCGTATGTTATACACTTTTTTTCCACCGCAATTTTTCGAGTCTTAGTAATCTTTAATGCAATACAAGATGTATCGTATGTTATACACTTTTTTTTTCATCGTAATTTTCCGAGTCTTAATGATCTTTAATGCAACACAAGATGTATCATACATTTTTTTTCTATCGCAATTTTTCGGGTCTTGGTGATCACTATAAAGTTCAAACCTATTACTTAATTTACTTTACATTTTTCCCCAATCATTTTCCTTTAGACGTGTATTTGTTTTTGTTGCAAAATTGGATTATTTTTGTTTGCAGTTATTGCCTCACAATGAACCAGTCAATGATAATTGCAATACATATTTAAAGAATTGAAAGCAAATAAATGTGGTAGTACATAATATAAATTCTACTCACGCCTCCATAAAAGTTGATCTTGAAGTCAAATTTTGCGTACAACATTAATATCAATTTTTAATACTTCGTTACCGGCATTGTCAATTATTATGATTTTCATTCAGTAATGTCTTAACTAAATGTTATTCACTCTGTTCATTTTTATATGACTTTATTTTAGAACGTCACAATTAATATTATAAGTGTTTCTTCAGTTTTTCTATATGTCGTGGACTAATCAAGATTCAAATATTAAATATATATTTAAAAATCAGTCTAAACCTCGAAAAATCAAGATGTGTTAGATAAACTAGACCAGAATAGATATGTTTCTTTATAATTGTGGTGTCTGGGATAACTTGTGAGTATTTCGACTAATTTTATGATTATATCTGACATCTTCCACCAGTACGTGTATCGGATAATTCTGACCATCAAAGGATAGACAGATGAGAAGTAATCACCTCATATTTTTACTTCCGCTGAAATTTGAACCTAAAACTTTATATATTTCAACTCATTACATTGACCACTAAGTCATATATTTGAGAGCATAATAGCTACTTTCACAATGTTGTGATTTGTCTCGCAATATTCTATATTTTATCTAAATTAATATTCAGTCACCTATGTCATTCTTTTTTGTCTTTTCGTATAACCAATTTCGAATAGTCCATGATATTTTTGTCTTTGAAGCAATGATTTTCTAATACTCAAATCATTCCAACGTATTTGGCTTTATTTTTATGATCATGAAATAGACTATAATGTAATTGTGCAACATCCGCTAACTGTGGCCACACGATAATATGATAATGATAAGAAAATTATAGGGTAGAATAATAATAATTATTACTATTATTATTATTATAGCTGCTGAACCACCTCTATATATCAGTCTCTAGTAAGAATAATAATAACATACTTTACACAAAATTTCATCACTTATTTAAAGTTCAATTGGTATAATTATAATATCTATGCCCTATTCTTATGCTCTTTTACTAATCTCTTTTCTAAATATTTGGCAACCAAACAGCCCAACGGAAGTTAGAAATGTAATGTCGATGCTCAATTGGAACATGAATAATCCAATATGGTCACGACAAATAATAATAATAATAATAATAATAAATAAATAAATAAATAAATAAATAAAGAAAGAAAGAAATTCACGGGTATCTTTTAAAAATGGAGGAAATTCGGCGTAATACTTCCAATTTATGAAGCAAAGGAACTTTGTGTTTCTATTTTATATTTTATTATTGTCATAATTCTTCTTTTGACATGTTCTTACTACTATTGTTATTGTTTATGTTTCGAGCAAAATATTCCATGATTATTGTATATAACTATATATTTCGCTGTAATTTATTGTCATTTATTGATGTTCCTACCTTCTTTGCACAAGTAACAAGTAATATAACATTTCTCTTTCTGTACTTCAAACATTGTCTTTCTTTACTGTATTTACCCAAAATATGATAACAATTAAATATGTACCTAATTTTAAGGATACGTAGTTTGATTCAACACAAATAATTAAGAATATTAGATAAATGAATTAAAAACGAAATAAGCGATCAAACCAATTATGATGTTATGGTCGAGCCTGAACTTAGAGTGAACAGTGATCTCATCCTCGATTGGACCTCCGATTCGAGCCCAGTCGTGAATGAAGAACAGAATAAGTGAACAAGAACTTTAACAGTAGCTAAAAGGCAGAAAATAAACTTGTATTGCTTTGATTTGCGTATTACAATGTGTCTTACAAAAGAAAATTTTTTCTTTTATATAGTAGGAGAGTTTCATCCCTAGTATAAGTCAAAAAGGTAAAAATCTTTCTTTTTCGGTAATTACTGATCCATAATCAACATCGAGCGATATCCGCACTGTGATGTTCGGTTGGGTGCGAATATCACGGCTCTCTATCCGTCGTCCGTAACCATTTACCGTATTTCCCGAGGTCTTAGAACTCATTCTTGACCCGGGGCGCATCGCTTTACCATATCCGATGACGAGCACATCGTTCGCTCTTCCTGTATCTTGATACGAAGGGTCTCTAACCTCGATTACAATCTCGTGCATTCGTGCCCTTCCTCCGTTTCTCATCGGGAGATCGGGGTAGATATTACCCCCGATTTTACCCATACACAAATAGTCTTCTCGTTGTTCGGAGAGTAGGTTTACCGAAACGATGGGAAGAAATAGATGAACTCAGGTTCCTTCTTTCTTTACTGTATTTACCCAAAATATGATAACAATTAAATATTTACGCAATTTTAAGGATACGTAGTTTGATTCAACACAAATAATTAAGAATATTAGATAAATGAATTAAAAACGAAATAAGCGATCAAACCAATTATGATGTTATGGTCGAGCCTGAACTTAGAGTGAACAGTGATCTCATCCTCGATTGGAACTCCGATTCGAGTCCAGTCGTGAATGAAGAACAGAATAAGTGAACAAGAACTTTAACAGTAGCTAAAAGGCAGAAAATAAACTTGTATTGCTTTGATTTGCGTATTACAATGTGTCTTACAAAAGAAAATTTTTTCTTTTATATAGTAGGAGAGTTTCATCCCTAGTATAAGTCAAAAAGGTAAAAATCTTTCTTTTTCGGTAATTACTGATCCATAATCAACATCGAGCGATATCCGCACTGTGATGTTCGGTTGGGTGCGAATATCACGGCTCTCTATCCGTCGTCCGTAACCATTTACCGTATTTCCCGAGGTCTTAGAACTCATTCTTGACCCGGGGCGCATCGCTTTACCATATCCGATGACGAGCACATCGTTCGCTCTTCCTGTATCTTGATACGAAGGGTCTCTAACCTCGATTACAATCTCGTGCATTCGTGCCCTTCCTCCGTTTCTCATCGGGAGATCGGGGTAGATATTACCCCCGATTTTACCCATACACAAATAGTCTTCTCGTTGTTCGGAGAGTAGGTTTACCGAAACGATGGGAAGAAATAGATGAACTCAGGTTCCTTCTTTCGTACGTTACACCAGAGATGACGGGTAAATCGAAATGTCCCATCAGTCGCGTCTTTCTGACTTTATGCACGTGTCAGCCGCCAGTTGACTGTCCTCAAATGCGAAACGTCGTGCATTGATTGTTCTTCCTCTATAAAGCTCTTACCCTTTTTCACTTCTTCCACTTTTCGATTCTAGAATTTATCCTCGAACTCTCTACTTGCTTTTAACTCCTCCAAATCTTTATACATTGCTCCTTAAACCTTCATATATTCAACTTCAATCCTCATACGTTTTCTTTAGATCTTCAACCCAGATCTTCATACCATCTTCATATTTTT